AATTCAAATGAAAAAAATGTTGAAAAAAGTATTTATTAAAGAAATAAAATTTTAAAGAAATACATTAAGAAAAAAATATACATTTTTTAATGAATATTTTTTATCAAATTTTAAGGAAAAAAATAATTCGGCAAATTGACTTCAAGTGTTGGCTACAATCAAATTTGAATTGCATATGATATCATTCACAAGATTATTTTCTATACTCGATTGATCACTTTCTATATCTACTTATCAATCATTAATACACATGATGCATTCGTAATATTGATGATCACTATTCAATTCAATTGATGATTAAAATTTCTCTAGATGAAATTTATAATAATATCAAATTTTTGAATGATTATAAGTATCTATCATATGATATATTCAAAATATTGCAAAAGAATGATATATATATTTATATATATATATATAAATTATATTTTTAAAATACAAATTTGGCAAGTCAAAAGTAAATTATTTGAGTCATAGAGTTACAGAAAAATATTCAAGCAATAAATAAAAAGTCATTTAGAAATACATATAGTTAAAAATTGAAACATAAAATTGATTCAACAAATAATATTTTTTAAGTTTAATCATTTGATATCTTATATTTATGAAAGATTTTGTTTGCTCAAGACTCAACGTTATGCTAAACAAAGTTCAAAAATGAAAAGTTAAAAAAATATTGTGTTAGAAACATCTATCTTCAAATGGTTAGATTTTATATAATTCATCAAATTTGCTACTAACGCGTGTGTTACACCAATAAATGGCATAGTAACAAAAAATTTAGAGTATCAATAGCATCTAGTTGCCTTTTTTTTTTTCAAAAGTTGGTGGCAACCGAATAAAAACTATTTTGCTGCCACCAATACAATATTCATTGTGTTGGCAACAAATCACAGTACATATCATTTGCGTAATAGACACTTTGTGATAAAGATTGATCATAAATCTTTCATTTATCCAAAACTCACAAGGATATATTTAAACAATTTTTTTGATGAATAGAGTGACATCACTGATTCAACATGAAAATTGTATACGTTAAAATCAAAAAATAAATGTGTGTCACATTTTTGTTATGTTTTAATTATGTTGCAAAATAAAAAATACAAATCAATCGATAAAGCAAAATGACCCATGACGTAAGAGAATATAAAACAATCATGAGAACACTACAATCTAGGAATACAAAATGATAGAAATTTGGCACTTCACAAAAAAATATTATAAATTCTGCATGATAAAACATATGCATAATAATTTTATCAAACAATCATTTTGAGCGTTATATTAAAATGAATAGATATTAAATATTTTTTAATTTATAAATTTTTGATACAAAATACAAAAATAATGTGGAGATTTAAATTTAATATTTTGTAACTTTTCAATATAATAAGACAGATAAATAATTTTTATTGCATAACAATACACAAAATATGTAATTCATGTAATCTTGTATGTGATTTACCAAAAAATTTGTTAGAAAATTATATGATTGTGAAGTTTATATAAAATTGACCAAGATGATTTATATTGATAAATAAAAAACATTAATACATCCTTAACATGCTCAGTTGTATCTAGATGCAGTTTTATGAATTATAATTTAAGCAAAGTAACTATCAATGATAGATTTACTCAATTCATTAGTTTTCTTTGAAAACCTTTCTTTAATTAGAAAAAATTAGCTATGTTAACAAGCTATCATACTCAAATTGATAATCAAACAAGTTCATCTTACCAATGAAATATATGCTATATGCATTAATAGAAGAATAGCAATAAGATTGTAATACTCTTTCGACTCTTGTAAATTTTGCATATTATTGTGTTGTTAATGCATCCACAAAAATGTATTCATTTTATCTTATATACAAAAATCATCCCATAATTTCATCAATTTTGATGATACTCCCAAAAGGTAAAGAGTTTTTTTATCAAAATAACGTCTATCAAAAATTTGTGAAAGCTTATTTGTAGAATGGCCAATCAAAATAAGTAAAAGTTTTTTATCGTTCATATTCAACAAAAACAACTTATAGATGGTTATTGTAGAGAGTTAATTATTTAGATAGAGATCATGTTTGATATTTATAACAACTTTTATTTTGTAAAAAAATTAGATTTTAATTTCAAATTTATTCTTATTTATTTAAATATTGAATTTTGTTGATATATTGGCATAAAAGTTAAAAGTTTATATAACACTTCAAAGTACAGCATGTATCATAATCAAAAAAATTTATCAATCAACCAGCCAATATCACCAGCTCTTTCAACCTTGATTGTTGATCATGAGAAATTTGACTTAGAAAATATACTTAAGAAACGGATTCCAAATCATAAACATTTCAAACTAGAATAATTGATTCAATAAATATATTTCATATTATAAATGTTTTACAAGAGAGTATTTGATTCAATTAATCCAAACTTCATCATATGAATCAACTTAGGTATCATAAAAAATATCTAACTAACGCATCTTGATGGTTACTGAATTAAATGTATGTGCAACAAGAATGTTACATCTTTTAAAAAAAATATTTGTATGCATTTTTTGTTGATTATAATTCAAATAAAAATTACTCAAGATTGAAATAGAGTTGCAATATATTGAATCATCTATAATTGCAATGTTAGCAATCCATATACTTGATAGATAAAAAGTAAGTGTGTCAATTCACAATAACGCGTTAACAATCTATGTGTTTGTTAGGTAAGTATTAAGTATCTTAATTGACAATAATAGGTTAGAATTTTTTGTGCTTAATACTTTTAAATTTCATTTCATCAATCCACCAAGATTAAAATGGATAATGATACTTTGTCTTCTTGTAGTTGTTAAAAAAATCTATATAATAAATAGTTGATTCAATCTAGATATCCCTCATCTTTAGAGTTTGTGTTGTATGTTCAAGTGAGCTACTCTTTTAATCCTTAGGGATTACATCAACTTTGGAATAATAATTTCTTAACAAAAAGATAGAAATACTTATAAACAACATCAATTGTAGCAACAACAAAAATTAATGCATTGGCACATGATTATTATTATTTTATATGATTATGATAATCTATGAAACTATTTCATGTAATTTGATTATATCAAATTGTCTTATGATATTCAACACATTTCATAACATTTCACAACATGCATGCTGTCTTTTATTAGTGAGTGAAATTCTCATGATTTCAATAAATTACACAAAACCTCCAAAAAAATCAATATGATTTTCATTAAGACTATATATTTTCTAAGTGATACTTTTTTTTAACTTTCTTTACTTTCACAGTTTTCAATTTTTATAAAATGTGATAAATCTTGCAAATTTACATGTATTGGATTTTGTAATGTTTCAATTATTGATAAACTCAAACATTCATTGACTCATGTAACATTCTTCCTGATATAAAAAATTCTTATTAATCTTGGAACGCTAAATTCAAAAATCATTGAATGGAATTGCTTGAAGTGAAAAATAGATAATATAATTATAATGAGTGAAGACATGGTTATAACTATACACATGCTAAAGGCTATATCTTTTATGAGTAAATCAGTTTTACTAAATCTTTGATTACTGAAAAGAGCAAGTGGCAAATTCAATAAAATATCAAAAATAAATTGTTTAGATACATACATAAATTCAGCTACATTTAAATTGTTCAAATAGTGCCACTATAGTGCATGACTAATATTGTGATAATATTGCAACCTGTCTCGAAGAAAATTTCCTTCAAAATAGTGTTTGATGATATCTTCCCCTACCTTTTTAGGAGATTGATATATATTTCTTATTTGAATTTGTACATGCAGGATTTGAAGATATCGTCTTTTTGCCATATTACTTCACGCCATAACAATAGGCAATGCATTTATTTATACTTGGACTATCTGGGTTTTAATAATTTGTATCCCGTGTGCAATTGTAGAGATTTTCCATTGTACTGCATTCCCATACTTTATGCTATATACTTTGTATCATATAATCTTCAGGTGATGATTTTGTATTTCTACTTCATCTATTCTGAGTTAGATAGTTGGATAGAGTAGTTAAAGTATTACAGGTCTGCTTTTTCGCTGCTGTTGGGGCCTAGACCCATCTTACTTCTTGGTTTTATCCCTCTACTACTTGATGAGGTATTCGCCTTTTTATTCCATCTTACTGGTAGCCCTCCTAGTTAGACTTATATTCTTCATGAGCTTCAGTTTATCTCACACTTTCAGTCGCACAATTGACACGTCAGTGTTCTGGGGAGCTGGGTGGCCAAGCACTGATTGTATCCATTGACCCCGTGGAAGTGTGTGAGTTGCCGTGAGTATGAGTAAGATTCGCTCACAATCTTATGCCCAACAAACATTCCAACTTGTAGGATAGTCAAGAGTTCAAAGTCTAGATTCCTAGTGGCCCCATACTGAAACGGCTCCTTCTCGATAAAGCACGTAATTCCGTTCGCTGCTTTGAGGAAAAGGAAGCTCACCGTCTTATTGTCAGTCATTCTTCTAAGAAATCAAAGCCAACTAGCGATACAAATAACTGCAATGTATTTCGGCAACAAACGTTGACAAAGACGCAGCTATCACATAATACAAAGAAGGTGGTCTCAGCTCTACGTACGGGTTTAATCTCAGATATTTGTTCGGCCAGTCCGCAAGCAGTCTGCAATCGAGGTTGGCTCGTCAGGCCACACCAGCTGGACTCGCGAGGGCCGCAGGATACTGAGCTGGTTGCCGGTTCGTCGGACACGTTCTGGATAGTAGGGAGTTTTTAGCTTTTAGCATTTCCCTGACTTGAGAGCACTGCCGGGACGCGTAGAATATGTCTCGAATTTCTTCATTAGCTGACCCGAAAAGTTAGCTCAGGTTGTCCAGACCGCGGACTGTTCGGACACGACAAGTCAATTACCATTTTTCGCTCATCTAGTAGCCTACACCGAGATGGTGGACAAAGGCAAATGCAACTGAGCCAGGTTACAGTATGAAGAAGTGGTTAACAATTTCTCTTGCCGTTGAAAGCGAACAATCAATGAGACATAATACAGAGGCAAACATTACATTCAGCAAACATAAGCTGAAAAAATTCTTATACAAGAGCTATAATCAATAATCGAAGAGGAGAATGATGGTGGTGGCTGAGATACAGAATTGCATTCAGTAACTGTACAGGGTACACTATCTATATTCAAATGACACTATTTCTGTCCATTACATGGTTATGCCGATCAGATGCATGATCAGGATGTTCATGGTGGTCTGGAATATCAGAACGTCCAGAGCCTACACGCTCATCCCCAAAACTTGATCTACTCCTCCTTCGATCCCTGTGTTTCCGCTGCGAGTTGTTTGCTGAAGCGTCGGCTCTTGCCACAGTTGCAGCGACTTCGGCTTCTTCGATAAACGAGACTAGTGACCGCAAAAAGCTTCTGCCTCGAGATGCTCGGGACGAGAGGGTTTCTGACTCGGAAAATTCTTCATCTCTGTAGGTTTTGTGATGTTGCCATATTAACCGCGAGTAGTACAACACAACGCAGAATATCGATGCTGTGCCCGTTATCAGGAACAGGCCCCAGAAAGTGTTCAATCCAAGCTCGTTGTCGTTGGGGTCTACTACTAAACCTGGCGAAGTACAGTCGTGAGCGTTCAGCCAGTAGTCGTGGATCTTTTGAAGGTCACCGTTTTCAGCCAAGGCCAAGATTGCTGTCGACATGTCAACAGCTAGCTGTGAGCCCTTGGGAAATGCCTGCATCGTCAGCGAACAATCATAAGCCTTGTGAAGGACTCGGTCCAGGCGGTCTACGGAAATAGGAAAATAGACAAGGACTGAATAAGCAGATCCTTTGCAAAATATGATTGAAAGTATGTAAATGCAATGTTGGAAGAGAATTCGAGGGGAAAAAAAAAAGTCGGTTTGCAAAGGCCTCTATAGAAATCAACATAGTTCCCAAGCAGGTTTTCCCCCATCCGAAACTTTCACACTCTCAATACTGAAAATTATGAAATTGGGTTAAAAACTTACGAATCCCCATCCGCTTTTGTCAAACTCCTGTCCGGCGGTCATGAATGCACATTCCGATAATAAAAGAAGAAATCAATATAATCTGGCTTTGGTCTACAGAGGCTTTTCATAAGGAGGACTTTTCTCAACCAGCACATTCACACTCAATATTCAAATTGTCAACTTGAGTCAGAGATACTTACGAATCCCCATCCGCTTTTTGTAAACTCCTGCCCGGCGATCATAAATGCACATTCCGAAGACAAAAAGACTTGTACATATGGCAACTCATCCACAATAGCACCTACGAGTCCCTTTTGCAATGCATCAGCATATTCTGACATTGTCCCTAAGGGAACCAGCCTTTCCTTGGGCACATTCAGCTGTTGCAGATACTCCGCAACAAAAGATCCTGCTTGGTAGCCAATTGCTACGTTGCTTGTCACTAGGCCTGCTATTCCCTGGAAAAACAGGGCAGGGACCAAGCGATTCGAGGATGATAAGTATTACCCTTGAGGACATTCTGACCAGTAAGTGAGGGACTGTAGGGCTGATACGTACCTGTATGGTTGGAAACAGCTGTTGAACGGTAAGGATCGACGTAAGACTAGCAGTGTAACTAGAGGTGACGATGAGAACAACAAATAACCAGATTATTAAAACAGCTCTACCCAGAGTGCTCTTGATTTTTTCCCCTGCACACATGACAGACACAGAAATGAACACTTGCACAAAGGCTACCCAAAAGTATCAATTTTCATGAAAAAAAAGCAAGCAATGCTCTCAATAGAGCGTTATCAACTTACGTTGAGAAAAAAACAGAGTTGAAAATATAAACCTGTATCCAGGAGCAGTCAAAGAAGGTTGAGTTAGAAGAAACTCTAAATTTAATCTGAAATCGAAATCTCGCCCGCAATAGTGAACTTGCTATCGGAATTTTTTGGTAAACAATCGTAATGCACGCCTCCTAAAGAAAAAATGTCTGTAAATTGAGGAAGTACCAGAGAGGAAAGAAGGGCTCAACAGTGTCTAGGTAGAAGAACATTACTTAAAAAACACCAGCTTACTTCAAAAGCGGGTGTTTTTTTCAGAAACACCAGCTTTCAAGGCAGAACTCTCTCCAGCTAAAACTCCCATTTCGCCGTTATCTAGTTTGTTGCACAACTTGGTGTTTTAATTTGATTCTACTTTGGTGCTAGAAAGAAAGAACTGCGAACCAGAGAGTTGTGACAAGCTGCTTTTTCGGTCGCCCTCGAAAATCACGGTTCTTCTTGTGTTCCAAAATCCACAGAGCAAGCCCAGTAAATAGGAAAAAGAGACCAGTTGTACACCACATGAGTGGAGTAAAGGGACGCATGAATGCCCAAGCATGATTGCTTCCACCACTCTTGGTTGGCACAACGACGACCAACCCAGATGCAGAGTAAGGCTGTGTGAAATCTACGGTTTTCGAGCGCTTGGTGGTTATCGTTACGTCTCCGACAACTGCATCATATCTCTGCAGGAGCGGAGTAAGTGTGCACGTTTTAAGAATCAGTATCATTGTTTTCGGCGGATGTCAAACGATGTGCAGAAAACAGATATTACCATCCTGAAAGAAACGTTCTGTCTGACGCAGGTATAGCTAGAAATTGATTTTCAGGATTTACCTTGTTGACGATTTCCTCCACCAGATCATCGTAATTAGGAGTGTTAGTGCCATTTCCGTAAACTTCAAATTTATAGGAGACAGAGTACGGAAGAAAGGTGAGAGCGGCCTGAAAGACTTCGATGCAGAACCCATGGAACATGGTGCGATTGGGGTTTATATCCACAAATTCTCTGTAGCCGACTTTGTAAGGCACGCCTATTAATAACGGCTTGCCATTCTTTGGTACTACCCAGCCTTTCGGCACCTGCATTCAGAGGCAAGCCCACGAGTTATAAGATTTACCCAAGCTCATAAACTCATCAGATTTACAAAAAAGGAGACTGGGTTAGAGTGTACATAGAGTTCAGTTATGAGCAGTACCAATAGTTACTGCTCATAGTTAGCTCAAAGTGAGGTTATCGGGGTTATCCACAGTTCTATCTAACTTTTGTGACTGATGATACCTGGGCAGTTCCGCCAGGCCAAATCACATCTTGTAACTTTGGGGGAGGAGGTTCTGCAGCTCTGCTGGAGGGAGGGCGACTTGGGCTTGGTGGAGCTGACGAATTGAAAACGAATGGGTTCTGAGAGAAGCCTGTTTCATTATTCCAGTAGCCAACCACACGCTGCGCTGTCCCAAAGATGTTGACAATCTCATAATCAGTATGCTCCAGATCTCCAAACTTATTTAAGCCAATCGGACCGCTCAGACCTTCAAACTGAGTACTCTTCAGTTGCTCCATGAATGCATCACCGTCCTCCAGTATTTTCAAACTCGCAAGTTCCGTTGTGCCTCCAGCATCGTCAGCTATGGGAGGCCGCGGGATGAAGCTGAAGTTGCCACCGTGATTCACAAAGTTCTCAATGGCATGTGCGACCATCCACACGGCATCATATGCATACAAACCATACAGATTCATGACAGCTCTGTTGCTCAATAAAGAGGACGTCGCAGAGGATTGCATGTACTGTTTGAATCTAGCATGGAAGGAATCTAGCTCAGGAGTGGAAGGTACGTAAGCTCGAACACCGACGACACCTTGCAATGAGGCCCAGATTGAGTCGGTCGAGGGCAAATCGTCCAGTAGACCTGTGGTAGCTTCGCTTAGTATCCAGACGCAGCCTGTGGTCATCATTGCCATGGAGCGAGCAGTGGAAAAAAACATGCGAGCAATTCTGGGTTGCACGTGGACGACAAATACTCGGGACTCCAATAGTGACAATTCCGTCATGACAGGAATCATGTCTTTCTTCTCGACATCAGGACTGATTAAAGTCTTGAATCCAAGCGTGGCACCAACCAGCTGCAAGGAATCACTCAGCGCATCGATGCTGTTAACCCCGACGTAGTCATTTGTTGATATGGCCGTGACCTCCCGCCAACCATACAATTCGATTACTGCTGCAATTGCAGCCATTTGGACAGCATCGTTGTGCACCGTGCGCACAAAATAGTGATTCGAGCCTTCTGTCAGGCTCGGATCTGTTGCCGAAAAAGATACAAGAGGAACTTGCGTTGCACTGGCAAGGTCCGCCGTAAACTGAGCTACCTCCGATGTCTGGGGACCGACGATAGCGACAACATTGGTCTTTAGCATATCCACAGCTGCACATAACAAGCAATTTCAGCTCAACTGCTCAACACGAGGAACTTTGGGCACACTGTACAGAGAGACCGCTGAGATTTACATACTGGACCATAGAGCGTGTGAATAAGCATGATATCTTATAAACTCTGCTCCACCCGAGCGACCTGAAGTCTGTCCTTCCAAGGGTTAAGGTTTAGAGGATGGTGGGGAGAACAATGTATGTTACGGTACCAGCAGCGGCCCCTTGAAAGGAGGTGCAATTCGAATCGGAGGTGCGTATCTCCAGCTTGATGTCTTTGAGAATCGTGTCATTGGCATTGACATCCTGCACGGCGAGGGTGATAGCAGTGCGTGCCTCGTTGCCGATGGAGGTGTTGTAGGCAAACAATGCACCAATTCTCAGGGTAGTGTTTGCCCCCTGAACCTGCCCGCCAGTCCAAGTTGTGAAGATGAGCACGGACCACCACCACCAAGCACACACCACCACTAGCAGCTGCCAAAGCTGCATCTGTCGAAACCCAAACTTTCGTCAAGCAACTCACAACGCCCAGCTGAAGTTTCTAGTTGCTGTTGCCGTTGTTTCTCTTTTCATTCCTAGTTCAAGCTCTCCCCAAGAGCTGCTTCTTCTGCCTCGGGTTATGTAGGTTTGTCCTTCTATCGACTCTTCTTCACCAGCTGCAGCTTCTACATCTACTTGTGGTTGGCTTCTGCGGGTACTGCCTGAAGAGGGAGAACTAGATGGCAAAGTTTCTTGCACCTTTGCTGTTCTTTGTATTTAGCCCTTCCGTCCAGGCAGGTATTTTTAAGATTGAGATCCATGAGCTGCTGCTCCAGCCGGGCTCCAAAAGCCATGGACGGATGACCCCATTCCCACCTCCAGGCCACCTGCACTGCCTGTCAACTTGGTTCAAACTCTAGCAAGCCGCTGGCATGTTTAGCCGTAAATCCTCGTCATCAGGGCACTTTCCACTCTTGGTAAAATCGCCTTTCCGTGGTTGCCATCTGGCTCTGGTACCTCCATGGGCGAACAAGTGATACGCATTCAAGGGACAATAAAGACCGTTATAACTGCCTTCGCCCCCTCTTACAGAAGTTAGACGAGGTCTTCCCTCAGTTCTCTCGATGAATCCACCACCGCCCAGAAAGAGAACCATAATCTAAGTGACAAGTCACCTTCACCTCCTTGAAACATGCGTGAACGTCACGTACATTTATTACCATAAGCATATCCATTTTTCGAGTCCACTGCCGGAGCTTCAACTTCGCATGGAACCCTTCCTAATTTTGTCTATGAGGTTGACCTTCAGAATCATTTTACCTCACGCTCTAAATCCATGGGCTCGACGAGAGTAAACGACATTGACGGGATGTCAATGGGCACTTGCTTCTCGCCGTCCAAACCTCTCAAGCGTTTTCCAAGTTTCGAGTGGTGTTTCTAGGTTTATGTCTTCCACATTTAGACATTGCAGGGACTGATTAGAGTCCGTTGCTGTGGGCTTTGTATATACTGAGGCAGATACAGCTACACGACATTGAGCCTGACCAGACATAACTGTAGGGATCTTTGTCCAGTTTCGACCTAGGGACCAGAGGCCTACAAACTGGGCCGCATAGAAGCAAGTGGTCGGCTGGGGCGGTATGGCCCCACCACCCCTAGAATGCCGAAAGCTAGAAAGCACAGCCTGCGGTAAACCAGAAATTAACAGAACTTACCGTCCCTCCAAAGAGAAACTGGAAGATCCTTATCTGTTGGTGGTGACAAGACATGTGTACCCATGAAGAATCTTCGATGGAAACTCAGAAACGTTGCGTTTCAATATTCCCATCAGATCTTTTAGGCGTCATATCCCAACAACAAGCTGTTGGTTGGCATAAGCAGCAGCGGCATCTTCTAGTTCAAAATTGTTGAAGCTTCATGCTGGATTATGGCGGCATCAACGGGGAAATTTGCTATCGGAGGGCCATGAGCAGCAGCTGTTAGATCATTAGAAGGTTATTCTGACGTTGCCCGAGCGATCACCGCCGAGGAACAGCGGAGAGTTAGAAAAGCACGAGGACCCAATGCCGCACTAAACCCTCACAACCAAGCATGCAAGCTCTGCTGTTCTCGAGCTCTAACTACTGCATCCCATCTCACATCATATATCTCCGTACTGACCTGTCGTCAACAAACTCGAGAATTCACTCTCTCTTTCTACCCAAGCACTATAAAAACAAAATTGCAAGCACTCACTCCTGCTTTATCGATAATCTGGCAAGTTCAAAGAGTCAATCCCCACTAAACCAAGAAGGACACATTCACTTCTAACAATTGCTATAATTTACCTGCCGACCTGCATATGCATGCACGCCTATCTTCCTATGCTCACATGAGTCTCATTCATGAACGTCAGACCCACCTTTTTTGTAAAAAGCACTCCGAGTGCTAGATTTGCCTCATGGGTCTGTAGATCATTTTCTGTTTTTGTTGAGCTCGAAGTAAGGTGATCCAGCCGCAAGTCTGAGGCAGCAGAGCCAAAAAAGCAGAAAAGAACTTACCACATCGGTTTGGTAGCACTGAGGAACGCGAACTTGTCTCTCTTAAAGAAGTCCTTATTTTTTGGTCGAGAAACTAGCAGAATCGTCGAATGTTCTTCGTACACAAGTTGAGAATAATACAACTTTCTGTTTTGCAAATTAGATGCAGCTTTACAGCTAGTGTACCGCAACAGGAGAGTGAGAGAGAGAAATATACACAAAATACAGGAGAGAGAGCTATTGGGGAGCGTAGTTGCCTATGTGCGAAAGATATTCAGGCGGTAGCTTGAACTGTTCAAGAAATTTCGAGAAGATAGACCACGAAGGATAGAACTGGCTAAGCACGATGTTAGATATGGAGCAAGTGGGCAATCTAGCATGTGTCCAAACCTATCAAGTTTTTCTGATACCCATCATTCACTCCCTTATCCCTCAAAGATCTCTCTGCATATCCTGATCCAACACTAGCATCGACAAAGCTGCTGGAAATCTATCGTAACATTGAGCAATAAATTCGAACACTTATTATATGAACATATAAGATAAAATCCTTCCTTCGAAAAGGAATAAATATTTTGAGGGTATGGGCCAACGTAAGCTCTATACTTGGTTTGCAGAAACCCAAACGCCAAAAGTTGTTCAAACATTTTCACAAAGAAGATAATTTGGAATTGTATCGAGCAGTTGTTAGATTTGCGGGACCAGTTAGACACATGTCAAATTTAGGCTTTTTGACAAGTTCTTTAGAGGAATCTGATGTTGATGGTTTAGATTATGTGGTTCAAGGGCTCCCTACACGACCACCTCCCCCTACCCAACCACGAAAGGGGTTATAAGTGCAACATGTCGGTAGATATTTTGTTGCGGAAAAGTTCGTACGTCGCTCTAAATTGATTATAATTACACCTTGTCCAATTTACCGTCATTCTTTGAAAACGAAAAGATCTGAGGGAGGTTGATAGATCCTTCCCCGAATTCTATACACACGTTTTTTTTTTGAGCCGCTTTGTCAAACATTTTGACAAAGTGCAGCAAAGTTTATGCATACAATATTCTTATTTACAAAGTAAACGAACAGATGAAAATAAGAGGACTTCAGATACAAGTCAACCTCCACAGTTATGTACTCACAAGAATGGACTTTCTTTTAGTAAGCAAGGACTTGCTGACAGCCTTAAGTCTTCCGCTTGTGAGAATATTTTTTTCTACAACTGTACCTTTGAAATCAGAAACATCGTCATCAAAGAGATGCGAATTTCGTTTCAAGAAAAACCGAGGCTGGCTACGAATGGCGCCCAAGCAGGGATTGTGGTGTTATATTTTGCATTTATCACAAAGTGGGCTGAAGGGAAACAACTGTGCTCCCATCGGGGAAAGTTCAACCTGGACCGAATTTCAAGCGGAATAGCCTCACCTTGGACAACAAGACAGTGTGCTTCATGTTTTAAAGTGCACTCAGTTTGAGCCATGCTCGTATTCTGAACAGGGATTATCGTTCACTATTGTGCATATTACCCGAATATGAAGAACAAAGAAGACCCTCAATAAAATACGGTAAACACTCATGCAATCGTACCTACTGCAAGGAAAATTGTGAGCTAATGTCACATGTCCTGGGATATGACGATAAAGAGAAAGCGAAGGATGAAAAGAAGCTCTATGGAGCTGATTCTTTCTTCATATAGTGCAGCGTCACTCCTTTCAAGCTTTGGACAAGACAGTCACAAATCCTGCAGTCCTGAGACACACGGCAGTAGACTGCGCAGCATGAGTCTGGACTGACAAGTGTATGGCTAAGTCTCGATAAAGAGGGGAAAATGGTCCTAAGGGACCGGCGCTGTGAATACCGGATTAGGCTAATTCGACCATATGTTGACTGTATGAGTGGAGAGTGGCTAAAAGGGTTTGAGGGTAGTATCGCAGTTTTCTCATATTGATAAACAGGAGTTGAAGTTGGACGCGGAACGGTCAAGGTTGGGGTGGAGTTGACGAGGACTTCTGCTGGGAATCTGCTTTCAGTTGCAGAAATGAGTTCCCAAGAGATCATGTCAATCATTTTCCCCAGATTTCTGGAAGCTAAATTAAACACGTATGTGACGCCAGCATCAGAACCGTCCGGAAGCCGAGCAGGAGAATAAATGACCCAGCCTTACGTGCTCCAATAACAACTTCTATTCACCTGCACAACACCGAGGGAAACGGGTTTGAACCCCGTACCTGGAGCTGGTGCGCTTTTTCTTTTCACATAAATGTATAATATCGACAATGCAATATCCATATGATTCAAAGACCTCAACATTGTTCTGTCCTCACCCCACAGCATGTCCTTCGACATTACTTTAGTGTTCCATACCGTACTTGGGCAGCTTTTCAGCCGTGAAAGATTTCGGACCACCGGAACTTGCTCCAACAAGACCTGTTCCTTTTTGAATAAACACTTCATGTCCGCCTTGGTCGTATTCGCCCTGAGGCACCTGGACCTTCTCCACAATGATCTTAGGATTGCTTCCCAGGATATTCCCGAAGAGATATGAAAACGCTTTGAAGCAATTGAGGTCGAAGTTATACATCCACATGATGGTTACATTTTCGGGTTTTGCGAAGAAATTGGTTAGAACCAGCTCCTGGAATCTTGAAAATGTTTCAACTTCCTAGTACGGTATTTTGTTGCAACCTGCACGGAAAGAATGTGCAGGTACTCTTTTGGACACTTTTCTAAAGAGCAAGCCTCAATATACTCCCGAGTACAGTATCATGCAATCTCTGCATCGATCATGTGTGCATGCATGCACACATTAGGGATAGAAATACTCCGTTTTTATTGCTCTTTGTCAGAAGCCATGAAGATGCACGGTTTCACCATATCCCGTACCATGAATTTTTTTTGACGAAATCGCATACTATATAGAATCATCGCTACATTGTGCGCGGTTGTACAAAACTCTTACACTGCACCACAAATAGAGCAACATATTTACTCCTCTCCATGGAAACCTCATGGTTTTACAAACATGGAGGTTGCAATATTTAACCTTTGACATAGCTTCAGTATCAAATGACACGAGTTCTTCACACGTGTCATTTGTACCACCCTAAAATTCCACCAAACTATCATGAAACGGTAGAAACGGTAGCAGTGTATTATGTAGGTATTAATGGAGTTCTCTGCTTTCGATAACAAGAATGGCCGAGGAATGCCGTCCGCTCTCAACCGATGTCTGTATACGTACTGGATCCTAAGAAACCAGAGAATCTGATCTTGATATCTGAATACAGTATATACTTGAAATGGCTGAACGATGAAACAATGAACGCTACCTGTGAGATAAATCAAAACGGAAAGGCGTCCAAGACAGACACTGCTGTCGATGGTACAATTTCTATCGAGCACAGAGATGGATAGATGGACAAATGGTATTCCACGAATGTGTACCGCTCTGCAGACCTCATCTGACCTGTATCCCATAATCACGCTAGAGCAGACCAGGTCATGTGGGGCAGTCGGGGGAGAGCGGTAGTACTTTCACGTTTGATTCTACCGTACATGTAGATGATTTCTTGCTTCAGTAGACGGGACGGTTTGACTTGGCCTTGTTTGGGCCTCGTTTGACTATATGCTAGAACTCTCGGCGAGTGTAGCATCCAACAATCTGATCTCTTCGAAGAGTACCGTATGGCTGGAGACGATCGGATGTAGACTAGATGCAACTAAACCAAGAGGAGAGGAAGATAAGCACGAGAAGGTCGAGTAAGTGGAGTGTAGCTGAGGCTTACTCGAGCACTCTAGAGGTGACTTCAAGTTTCTTCCTCCTTCCAGAGAGCAAGGTGACCGTCCGTCGGTGAAACGAGGCTTAGAGATTGCTTGCTTACGTACAAAATGCAAAGTTGGGGTCAAAAGATCATTCTATGTGTACGTACTCTGGATGACGAGATGTGGGCCTTTAATATGAGAAACAACTCTGAACTCATTCACAATGTAGGGATCCTACCGGGAGGGGCCCTTTTGCCCATTGAGTCATGTGATTCACGTTGGGTCTCCAGCCTACTATGGCATGGCCCAGGTTCAGATGTAATTATTGTTTGCTTCAGGAGTATATACTTACAACCAAATGACTCTTGGGGTTTACGGTCGGCCGGGATCGTTCGCAAGACGAGCATCGAAGAATACCTGGCTGAGAGAGCCAAGCACCCACATGCTTAGTGTTGCATGCTTCTGCTGCCATCTGTGCAATCAGTGCCTCTCCAGAATGTCCTGCACGCTCGTAGAAGAGCGAGGGTGCAAAGTAATAATCAGTAAACGTTGTACATGACGGCGAAAGAAGCACTGCTAGACATGTCAGTGCGGCTCTGCTTACCAAGCTATGAGCGTCACGTAGCAGTACGGTGAACCGCACATGCTTCTTGGAAAGGAAACTGCTCTCCGCGATACAGGTCAACAGCTCTTCAGGTCTTGCTGCTTCAACACTGCTCGTAGTAGGTAGCAAAAGCACCCACGACTAGGTTGCACGCTGCTGACTCTTGGGTCGGACTCCGGAGCAACTTCGACCTTGGAAGTTGGAACGATATATAGTGTCGGCCTTTCAAGCTTTGCTTTGGTAGCAGCTTTAGACGAGGATGTCTTGTCTGGTTTTCAGATACTAGGCTTTCTCGACGTCCACCTCAGGAGAGAAAGCCCAGCAGTAACCCGTTTAGCACACATTCGAACCGCAATGTATGTATGGGTTATCGCTGAAATGATAAAATTGAGCCTGACATAACCAACTCAGAACATGGATCTAGTATGGGACGATTGATGGTTGCGTTCGATGTTAACTCTAGGCTCGTACGACCGCGAGAAGACTGTACGACAGAACAAACATACATCCTAGAGCTCTCATCAGATTAGATTGCCGTCCACGTCTTCTAACCCGATGCCGACCTGGGTGGTGGTGGGGCTTCTATCTACATTCGTCCCCAAGATGAATCTAAGTTTCTTTCGGCTGACGTGCCGTTCTAAACCTGCCGCTATTTGCTCAATATGGGAGCGCTGAGAAGTGTCCTTTGTGGGCTGCTGGAGCCAGAGTGAATCGTGAGTACTTGATGAATCTTAACATAAAAGAGGAAGGATCCCGTATCAATCTCTGGACTCCAACTGATTGCCTCCAGTGGTCAACCATTCTTCACTCCTAAAAACGCAAGAGTTACTCGTGCGATTTTAGTAGTACACTGCGATCCGATCCAAGCCATTCTGATGTAACTCTTCTTTTCCCTAAGGCAACTCAGACCACGAGTATACGGAGAACCGGATGACATGTGAGGTGGGATCATGCCCAAAATGTGCCATGCAGAAGGGCATATTGTGGCACGGGCAGCAACGTAAACCAAATGGCTGCAATAGCAAAAAAAATATAAACCTCCAACATGTTTCTCTTCAAAGGAGATGTAAAAATGTAATATAGGCATCTTGATTCCAAGTATAACGGGACTTTACTGTTTGGACTTGTTCCCAACAGTTTCTTGCCTACCATTCTTTTAGCTAAAGCCAATCGTGCATGATCTCGAGGGAGTGTTCTATTATTCTCTCCCGTGTTCACGTCTCCGGCCATTCTACATAAACATTTGCATTCGGTAAAAACGCGTGAATTATCAGGATTTATTCGACATGGATTTACTGCGGAGCTCAGATATTCCGGGTAACCAGATAAAAATCTGGAGCAACAAAATAACGGAAAATATATTTCAAAACGAACATCGCATATTGCAGCTACCAACTATAGACTCGTGTTCTCTTTCTTGGCAGTCTTGTGAAGAAACGTTTGTCTACATCATACTAGGTTGTCTGACCCTACTTTGTAAGGGTTTCTGATTGTTTGAAAAATTCCAAAGTATCAAAAGCAACTCTCCTTTCCACAATAGCCTCAAAAACCACGTCCGATCCTCCGCGTACATGGTCTGATAACGTGTCAACAAGAGCCGAGAATCAGTAGTGACGATCGACCTAGATGTAAACTAAAAGAGAAACAGCCTCAAGCACACAGGGAACTCGTATAGGTAAAGAGGCAGAAGTGCACCTGTTCTAGAAGGGAGAAGTCCAGCACTGAGAGCCGAAATTGGTAACACTATGATATCCTGCATAGAGTCCCTTGGTTCAAGCCCTAGTGGTTGTGACACTGGGGGTTGAACAGTACCAGGTTTCACGACGATCCTCGGAACAGCAACCCTCGTCGTGGAGGACGGCAGAGCATCAAAAGTCCCAGATACACGCGGAGATTCTACGGTATGTTGCAAACTCTGCATCTCGGATGCGATCTTGCATATGGAACAAGACACGAGTGACTACATTCCTCTTGCCGAGAACGTATAGGCTTCAAAGCCTTCAGAAGGTACACAAACGAGAAGGGAAGCTCAGTCAAGCGGCACACACCTGGGCCCCAAGACCTAGCCCCTTCTGGGTAATCATACTGTGCTGGGAATGAACATCTCCTCTTTTGATTCCTTCTGCAGCCAAGAAAAGACCAGGATTAGCACTGTGATACATAAAAAGCTCTCCAAATGTTCAGACTAACTTGGTTTTGTTCAGTCCACCCTCTAGATTGCGAAAAGGAAGTATCTATCATGCACATCAGGTTGAAGGATGCCTGAATATTCTGAAAAAGGTGCTGAACTAAAGGCATATCGAACCCTGAAAACATATCTGTACCCAGATAGATCGTGAATGACAACGATGTGGGGACTTTTGACTTACTTAGTCCAAAGTGCTCTTGTCTGCACGGATTAGCATGAAGTTGTTTCGTTACAGGTTCAAGGTAACACAAGCCATTTTTCTATATGAACTGATGACTAAGTCTAATTGCACGAAAAACGTGAGAAAGATTACCGAAGGCCTGTAGAATTTTCTCGTAGAGTGGCTAACCCTATTTGGATCTGGCTCTCCCATCTAGAAATTTGATTAGTGGGCACTAATCTTCCAATTGAAAGCAACTGATAATTGACCTGTTTCGGACCGAGTTGGAGAATTGACTTGATGAGATCCCGAAGAATCACCCTTCAGGATGCGGCGAGTCAGAGGGCCAGGATTCACTAGAGATATCCCACTGTTGATTTCATGGCGAATCGCCTCCAACTGAGCCATGGTTTCCTGCAACTCCTTATGTACCTAAGGTTGAGGCAAAGTGATCAGACTTCAATAAAAGAGCTGAATGACGTTTCATGAACGATCCTCTAATTAAACAATGTAAACTCTTGATTGTAAAACAATAATAATGTCACTATGCCAGAACAAGCCCATCCCGTTCGTAAACAGATATAGAGTTTCGATACCAATCCACCATTTTACAGCTACTGCTAACTAGCTCAACAAACCTGGTTCACTTCACCTCTCTGCATGACCCCATTAAGTCCTCCTCGGGCACTCTGAATGTAGCCTATGGCTTTTCCAGACAATCGTCCTGCCGCTCTGGCAATTATAGGAATGTCCTTCGGACCTACATATACACCCAGTAACAATATGGGCTGTCAACATCGTAAGACAGCAAGACATATATCCAGCACGATATAACCTAAACGGTCGAGGTCTGTTATGTTTCAAAGCTTGTGACATTTAACACCTCCTTGTCATACTCCGAATCGGAAACAATTCTAAGCCGGATGGACAAAATTTTCACTAATTCCTGATATCAAAAGCCAAGGATGATCCACATGTAAAAACATACGAAAGAGGTCCGAGAACTAGGCTTTCCGCTCAGCCTCTTAACAATGTTAGGATATCGAAACAAACCTAAATACAGACAATGGAACAGTCCATGAAATAGCGACCATGTTCTTCACAAACACTCAGGAACATATTTTCGAGAGCTATCAGAAGTCGTAGTGTTCAGCGGCAAGAATTTACGAACATTCGCGATCAACATCGAGCTTCGATCGACCATCCCAAAAAAGTAAAATACATCTTCGAAAATGCGTCATTCGAAGATGTCTGCGTCATTCGAAAATGCGTCATTCGATGCGCAATTTGTGACGAGACCGTCACATATTGCACAGCAGTAAAAAGACGTTCCTGGCGACCAATTCCGAAAGTAGTTTTCTTCAATCAAGTTCAAGCAATCAGGTCATTCCTGATCAGTAATAAAAAAGGAAAGTGGCAACAGTGACGCTCAAATTAGAAGCACGATAATTCCGAAAAGGCTAGCAGTATAAGTACCAAACATTGCGACGGCTGCGACCATGATGAGCGCAACTTCGCCATAGGATATCCCAAACATCAAGCCGGCACTATCAAATCTCCCAGTTTCGATAGTCTAAAGGACTCATTCAGGCCTCAGTGACGAGAATCTCATCAGTGCGAATTGCAATTACTGTCAAAATCTTCCGTAAATGAAAACCAATGCTCGGCATACAGAGATTGCAGACGCTCCCAAATCTCCACAAGTAGGTTACGAACATATCATGTAGCGAAAACCAAGAAGACACCCTCGTGCCTCGATCTAATTGCCTAAAAACAGACAACACTTTCCCGTCCGCACTTCTGCTCGACGGAAAGCCAACTCGTGCAATCCTGCAAACCTAATCGGAATTGTTTCACAGTAAATCTCGATTGTGTTTGCTGCGAATCCAAACTTTTTGTTCCTCTTCACGCCCAGCGCACATTCTAAAGGGTTCTCCGGGGTTTTGTGGCAACACATGTACTTGCACCGTGCATGTCAGGGGCCAAGGTCAGTTTCGCCAGAAAGCTAGCTCTTTCCGCACACAGTAAAGCCGGGGCTAAAGCTCAACGTTTGGTTCAGATTTGAGATAAAAGATTTGCATTTTGATCAGTTGGGGTCTATACCAGAATGATACTATTGAACAATTAGAAAACATATTCTCGGTAGATCAATGTGAAATGAACGCTTGTAAGATGACACTCTTAAAAAAAATTTCATTATATTTTTATTAGGTGAAAGTATCGATACTATTGTATTATTTCATACATCTTCTTGAGACGGTGGCAAAGTAAATAATAGATGGTTAGACATCTTGTAGGGCAAAATATTCATTTATCTCCTCACATGTACAATACAATCATTCATTAAAATAAATTACGATGAAGATAACTTAGTCAATATTACTGATTATGACAACGACAAACACATATTCTACCGGATCAAACAAAATTAACGTTGATAACCACATGATGCATATCAGATTTATTGCGTTCTGATACGATCCAATATAAAATATAATCGAATTAATTGTGCTACTAGAATTTATTATCAATTTTATACTTAACAATGATATCATACAGTTGCATAAAATTGCTCGCTCGATACCGTAGCCTCTTTTGACCGCTCAGATCCGTGCTCGAGTGTTGTATTGGCCCATAGGATCAGGGGAGCAAATGTAAGACTTTCGGGCCCCGTTGACGAGTAATTAGCGCTGCAAGAGCGTCAGAATTGTGCCGAAGAAACAAGCAATAAATATGACGTACAGTATATAACATTAAGCTTTGCACTTTAATTGCAGTGATTTGCATCCCGTGGATCGGACAGGATTTGCTAATATGGGGATCTTGGTAATTAACGTTGAAACATGAGCTTTTGGGCATTTCATTATTATGTAAGAATTCTCTCAAATGTGAGATAAAATACATGTACAATCTACCCCACAAATCAATCGCATATGCTAGATAAAATAGTCAACCTGTAGTTGTGTGAATTTAACAATAAAATCAACAGTGTTTGGTTTGTTTAATCTGTTACTACATGAAGGAAAGCAAAATCCTTTTCAAACACGCTCATTTGTACGTTCTAATTGAAGCAGTTAAAATCCTTGATAAAGAATGAAAAAGTACTGGAAAGTGATTTTGATTAGTCTTTTGTGTAGACGCAACATGCTTTGCCTTAAAATTCAGGGAGCCTGTACTTTTACTTCATATTGCAAGCTCATAACTAGTTCAGGGCTTGAGCTTTTTTGTCTGCGGTTTGACTTCTCCATTATTTTACCATGATATGTCACCCAACTCACATCACTTGCTGCTGGGGCCTTCAACAGGAGGTGTCAAACATTCATAGGGAGTTTTCGGATCTAAATGCAGTGATTTATACAAGGACAAGGTACTACATTCATATTCAGATGACAATCCCGCTAATACACATAGTCTGATACACATTAATAGTGATTGATTTCATTATGTTTCCGAAATAACAGTCTGAAAGGAATAACAGTCTGGTAGTGAAGATAGGAACCGAATACCAAGATGATCAAACGCCTGTAAGATAAGGTTTGGTCCTATGTAACCCTAATCGTCCAACATGTCTCGCCAAGATTTTCGTTCGATGTACATGTGTTAACGTGTTCTAAGTTTCGGGCGTTCTTTCATCTCTGGCTGCATACAAGCTGTTGAATAAATGAATGTTGAGACTCACGTACTCTTGGAGATGCATACCACATAAAGGGGCAGTTGACCTCAATATAATGGTTGCATGCAAGTTCGTGACCAAAGCTCACCTGCAGTGGTAGGTGTACGCATGATGGAGAGGAAAATACACCCTATTTCCTGACTTCACAAGATAATTGACAATTGCAAAATCTTTGATTTTAATTCTTAAGGTCCATTCCAGAAAATCGAATGGTCTCCGCTAATACGGGCAATATATTTCGGTTACCTGATTTCACAAGATAATTGACAATTGCAGATTCTTTGATATTAGTTCTTAAAGTCCATTCCAGAAAATCGAATGGTCTCCACTAATATGGCAATATATTTAGGTTACTTTCGATCATCATCCTTTCGGACGCATGACATTCACATCGGATGTTTCCCAGGGGGTTTCAGACAAATCTACTTGGTACAATGGATTTACGGCAGAGGCTGATCGGTATTCGAAACTGACCGAACGCGGAACAGTGTTTGCCACAATTGCAAAATTCATGATGGTGGAAATGAAAATGAAACATCTGTACATTTATATGTAAGAAACAGTAAGCAGAAGCGAATGAGAAGCTTGAATCATCATTAACAACTCTAAGACGTTTTGATTGTCGACATGCACATGATAGCTTCTGTTGTTGGCAAATAATTAACAGAGTGAAAGCTCGATCAAGCTAACCTTGAACAGCGAAGTTGTCTTGTTTCACTAGGTCTTTCCATTACCAAATTACGTCAGCACGTTTAGAAGTTGTTCGACTGCAGACACTGATCTTCAGGATAAAAACAACAACAATCGAAACAAAATGAATTACCTTATTGCGAGGCTCATGAAATTAATCACTTCACTAGCACGAGTATGTACAAGATTTACTTTTGTTCATAGTGTACACAAAATGGACATCTCCAAGCATATTTCCAAGCGATTTTGAATCCAAGTTATCAAACTACAAGTTGTCAAACACTAGCAGGGAAGGCAGATTTCTGTCGATATTCTACAAATCCAATCCTCGGCAACCGAAGCTCTAACTGAAAGGAAGTGTTCAGAGGAAACTTCGCGTCTCCATTCCACTGCCAGAGATTGACCTTCCATCGATGAGTTCCTACAAATAACAAGTGAATTGAAGTAAATACATACAATATCGAAAAAGAAAGAGCCCTACGTCATTGTCTTGAAAGAAACAGACTTCATTCAAAGAGAGTTGAGGCACTTGATTAGACATGCACAAGAACGCATGTACGTGTCCATTAGAGCCAAGGGATTACACTACATCCTGCATCCCTCGGAGTTTTGACTACTTAAGGATTCAAGACCAGAACCGAAACGTGACTGTATGAGGAAGCCAGCGGGAACGATCATGTTACAAGCCAAACACAAGTTTTGAATCATGCCACCAAGGGGAAGTAGTTTACCTATAAGCCCAAAGCCAGAAGTCTTTCTGCGAAAACAGTGACGAGGTAACGTCCAGATAAGTGGGACCTCCAACTTCTTTAGAGAGCTTAACGACCATATTTCTCAGACCATCCAGCTCGTGTCTGGCTTCAAGACTACAAAAGCAACCATGTTGAGGTTTGACATTCCTGAGTTCAACAAGCATCACTCTTGCACTTGGACCAAGACTACCGTAGAGTACCGCCTACATAAAGCAATAAAGGAAATGGCAGGGTGAGCTACAATGATGTATTTAGAAACTTGCCCGCTCACCTTACACATTCCTCCTGCTTCAAATTTGTGGCGAAGGAACCAACTAGCGTGAAGTGATCTTGGATCTTCTTAAGGGCATTCATACATATCTTCTGGTTTCCACGCAAGTCTGTGAAGAAACTGCAGATCACCGATGGAAAAATGAATTTGAACACTTAGAGAAACCAACACTACGCAGAGACATGCACCTAACGGTTGATTATCAACAATAACATTTAAATGACGTGGACAACATAACTAAATTCCCGAACTTGGAATACCCTTCACGACTGAAGGCATCGGCAAGTGTACATCTTTAGACGCCTACATATTTTGACACTACAGTTAAGGTGAGCAAGTTTCAATAAATTCAACTGTGCTGACTTGTAGAACAAACACAAATGGCATGTTTTCACCTGTTAGTGACAGAGCATGTTTTTCGTAGCGGAGTTGTTGCCGAGAATCTCAGCGCGTGTTGATCCCTAAGGAGGAACAAAGTTAAAAAGTATCCACACTTGATAGATAAGTTCAGAGTAAAAGCAAGCTAAGTTATACATTTGCAGCGTTGAATCCTGGAGCACACCTCAAATTTGATATAACCGAATTCATAAACACAACCCCTCCTTTCAGTATATTCTTAGACTGAAACTTGAGAAGTCTGTCTCCTGTTCTCGGGTTTACCATAAAACTCTCCAGGACCTTATGAACACCTTGCACATTCAGAGAAAATTTAGTGCCCTACTTGTGACAATGGATGGGGTCGCAGATAGAATGAAGCTGTACTATTACTAAACAATCACACCTTCACAAATCCGTAAATTCACAAGATAAAATAATCAAAAGTTCATCTTGAGTCCTCACCTCTTGATTGCCTCTTTTCCTCTCCCTTTGGAACTCCACTTCAAAGCTGCAATCTCCGGAAGAATTTGTATGCAAGCTGGACAAAACCAAAATACAAACCCTCGAAAGGAATTTATCGCTCGAATATGCTCATCCTTCACAGAATTATATCTTTGTGATCTAACATCAACTATGCTTTCAAGTCGATCATTTGATCAAGATTGGGCTGTTCTTCTCGAAGATGTTCACTCTGCCAATATTTTTGCTTCGAAGGAGGTTATCCGAGGAAACCTACGACCCCAACAAAACAAGTAGCAGAAATAATTTGTGAGATTCGGAAATACTAACCTTGTAGACAATGTCGAATCTGGAAGGAAACTGTGAGATGTGTTGACGTTGAAGTTTGTGCCTAGGAAAATATGCCAGACGAACAAAATTTAGTCTCTTCAACAGCTGACCTGAGCAAAGAAAATTTATTCTTAATGTTTGTCGACAGATTAGTTCAAATTAATCCGCAGCATACTTATTTAAGGTTTCAAAAGTAACATTGCACTTTTCTGAAACAATTCGCATAGGTCATTTATTGAGTCTTTGAGTATCAGTCATACAAGAGGTTGCACCAAACGAATCTCCTTTCAAGTCAGTGGCGTATTGAGTTGCTAGCAGATGCTTAACACCCAGCTTATGGGATGTGGATAATCGAATAGATCTCTCATCGATTTGTTTGCCTTTCTCGAACCCCGTCAAAACTGTAATCAAATCATCAAAACAAAAGAATATCAATTCCCAGCTTCCACAAACGTAGGCTTGTACTTGTCACTTGAAAGCAGCCGAATTGGTCACCATCTCCGGCATGCTCCACATTTTTACATGAAAACTTATTTTGCAGAATTTCAATGAAGACATTTCGAATCACTGAGTTTAACCTGAGTGATTTTGATCAATACTAATACATTCCTCCAGCATTTGTCCTTGAGGGAGCTCCCACAAATTTTGAATTCCATCTTCGTTCTGAAACAGAAAGTAAGACATTTCAAATTAGAAGCTGGAAAGATAAATTTTGACAAAATCCTTTCAAGGACTTTCAAATTGATACACCAGTCGAAGCCGGAAAGAGTGAGTAATGTTCCACAATATACGACTCCATGCGCTTCTCAGAAGATGGTGACGAAATTATACACAAATTTTACGAAGAAATATTAGAGATCAGTTGACGACTTACATCTGTAGAATACAACACGCCAAGTGGTTGACAAAAGAAGGAAGATATAACTCCCCTCCCCCTCTCTCTCCAGAAGCCTCCATCTACTCTTCCCGATGTCGAAGAGAGTGGAATGTCAGATGTGGGCTTGGCGTCAGACCGATAGGCGACTCGACCCGATGTTACCATCGAATCTAAGTATTTCTCCCCATTGATACTGCTGAAGCTGTTGCGAACTCTAGCCTTCTCATTTTTCAAAAACAACTGAGAACTTCCAAGGGCCACTCGCCCGACACTGGCATCGAATCCAGGAATCAAATGTTCTGCCACTGCAGACTGCTCGGCCAAACCTGCAACATGAAGCTTCGGTAATCCCCTGTGAAAAGTATCGGGAGGACTACCAACACGCCCACTTGAAGAACAATCAAGTGCGAAAGAATTCGTCTCATATGAAGGTAACAGACTAATCACGTTGAAGTCATGAAGAAAACCGCCGGAAGATGTGTTCTTCATTCTCTCCGTTCGGTCTCCTAAAACAAGACTCTTCTCCTTCCTTTGATCCATAATACCCTTCGGCTCGTGCTCTCAAGACCAGACTTCTTGCCTTCTTTTGGTACATGCACAATCTTCCATTCCGACCAATCCGATTGTAATCGTCTCTATAACAGAAGTTCTAATGTACTTCGCCCTTAGGCTGCCCAAACCCGTGGACTCTTCCATGGTGTGACTCCCCGTCAGCTGTACTTTCCACAATACAATACCCTCCGAAACGCATTCTCATTGCCTTGGACTCCAGGTACGACTGTTCATCAGATTTCCGGCACACTGCAAGCCTCCACGGGTAAGAAAGAATTCGAACACGTTATATCCTGCCCAAATCAGAAAATTCCACTCCTTCCAGTCATAAAATAACATTAGAAGCAGCACGCACCCGTCACTACCACGTTTCAAATCCAGCTTCGAATGTTTGTCTGACGCCCACTCTTCAAACTGTACATCTTGACGAAAGGTTCAAAGCTACATTGTGGCAAAAGAACAAACCAGCCATCTGCTCCAGAAATCTGCAGGACCTTCCCAGATGCTGGATAATTCAAGTGTCAAGGCGATGTTGTTGGCCAACACTATAACTGCTCAACGGCGCTGCGGAGATCCAGCTAACCAGATTCTCGACTGGACGATTCATGAGGGCCAGGACATAGCTGGGAGCTGGTGGCAGAGGACTTGGGAACCAGGGCCCCAGTCGGAACTGGTGGTGGTGGACAAGCGTCATTAGACGTAGACTTTCGTAATCTACCATTACGGATCTAACAAGGTTGGACTTCTCCAGACCGAGCACTCTTTGCAGGGTTTGAATTGGACGAGTTCAGCTGGCGGGCCGTGTACTGCATAGTGGAGAGTGCTGTAGCGGCCGTATATTCCTGTAAATGTAGAGTACCGTAGATAGATCGTTAAAATCCTCCATAAGTGAGGTAATCGCTGCACTGTGCACGCCAACACGGTAAGATTTCTCTACTTCACAGTAGAGAAATTTTACCTAGTTGACCACTCCTCTTTACCGCGCCAGTGTCACGTCAATGCATTGCGAATCATGCAAAGTGAGGCCGTTTGCGTCGGACTGCGACTTCGGCTAGGCTTCGGTTTGGGAAATATTTTCACTCATGAACTGGAGGCCCAGATTTGAGGTAAAATACGGTATGAGAAGATCTTTCACCAATTTTTTAAACTGAAGGTGATTTGTGGAGCACATAATGTGCCTTCTTTCAAATTTGTTTTGCAAGACAGTGCAGAGCGCAAGCTCCCGGGTTATAGTCAAACTATCTGCCCCTCAATAAGTTAGTCCATTGTAAAATTGCCACGTCCGATGTGCTTCCCTATAATGTGTCAGTGGCACATCATACGCTCTCGTCTCAAATTTGAAACAAATTTAAAAAATGTTCAGAGTTCATCTGCTTTTAGCTTTTTTTTCTTTTTTTATGTAAAGTTCATACATTATCAACGTGAATGCATTGCTACATGTCATTTTCGAAGAAAGAAAAAATTCACTTAATAAATTCTATGTCATGGAAGAAAATGTTGTTACAAAAATGAGAAATACCAAAAAAATAGTGTCCTATGGTATAATTTGTTGTTAAAAATAGGGGAAAAAATTATTACACCAATCTACCTTGCTTACTTAGTCTAAGAAATTGCTTCATCTTTTAGTCCAACAATAAAACCTTCCCATCAAGTTTAACTACTATGATAATTCAGATGTTTTGAACTATATATGACATATTCCTCATCATGAAACCATTAAAATATAGAACTATACTTTTTCTTTTTCTTCTTCCTTATAAATCATGATGGAATATTTCATCATTTGTATCATAAACCTGACCATTCTTTAATTTGAACATAACACACACATACATATATATATTCACATAGCCAACACACAATTAAAAAAAATCGTATAAATACATGAATATACATGATTCCACCCCTATGGATGTTACTCTAGGAAAACACAAATGCTATACTTATATACGTTAAGTTTATTTCACATAGTACTGCAATCAATTCTCTTATATGATGAATCACTAATTGTGTTCCTTCTAAGTAGAATAACATCAAGTACTAACAAAGTGGAGCATTAGCATTAAACTTAGCATTATAATATACCTACCATATTACTACAGTTTGGAAATCATATTCATAATTACAATCGAATGTCTTTGAAATTTTTTTTCTGAAGTTGAAACATCTAGATAAAGTTTATGTAAATAGTAGCTAATGTGTAATCTTTTTTTTCCTCATGTTATGATTGAAAATAGTATGTAATGTTAGATATTTCAAAGAATAATACAATTTTTCATGCATGATAATTGATAAATTGTGATGTTTGTTGTCAAAAAAATATTGTTTATGATGCAATTTACTTGTGCATGATATCTAGAGTTATATTTAACAAGTATTAGGAATATTCAAAGGCTAAATGATACAGTTCTACTAAAGTATCATCATTGTCAAGGATTGCCATGACTTAAATGTCAAAAAACGAAGGTTCACCATGACATGACACATTAAGTCTTTTAATATTGTTCTATAAGAGATATTTTTTACTTATTCATTATTATATCATTTTTTTCATTTACTGAATATATTAGAAAAATATGCTTAACAATATTTCTAACCAAGAGACTTAAAAAAATTGTTTGTAATAGATGATTTGATTTTATAATTCATCAAAATTTGTAATGTAAATTCTTCATAATTTTGAAAGATTCAGTTTACTTATGAAAACTTGAAAATGTGACATAAAATTTGTGATGAAATGTATTTCAAATAATCATTTTCTTCTTTTAAATAAAATCTGGATTATTGTACTCATCTTACAGCAATATATTATTCATTCTATTTAATAGAATTTATATTAATATTACCCAAAATATTGATGTTCTTCAATTAAAACCTGGGTTTTCACTATACAAGACTACTATTGAAACCATCATCTTTTTCGACATCAGAAAAATTGTACGTAATTGAAATCAATATAATCTCTAAAAATGCTTGCGTATGGAGTATACAATTGAGTAGGCTTTCATATCATTGATTCTTTATATAAGTTGGGATCTAAATTTCAATCATGTATCCTTGAATTGAAAATAGCCCTGAACTGAATGTAGTGAAATATGTGTTATACTTGAATCAGCGTTTGATGAAATTATTAAATTATTTACATTAACCGGAAATAATTTTTGGCAAAGTGCAAACGAATCTTATTTTTATCGCTTTAATGCTTCAGCATGAGTGGGCGACAAAACTATCTACACAGTTGACAGTTAGTGAGTATAGATGAAACACATGCTTTTGATATAATTTTGAAGTCCACGTAAGCTATTCAGTATGGAGCATAGAGGGAGAGAAGATAACAAGAAGAGGGACACGACTCACACTAATAATTGTTTACCCCAGCTAGCGGGTTAAGTTCCGAAGTTAAAAATAGTTTTACATTATGTGATGCATGTTCTTCGTATCCCATTTCTAATTTCTAGTATTTTAAAATTGGATATTTTAATGGACTAGATATAATAGCAGCGGAGGCTGATAGAGAGACTTTCCTGGTCACTGGTATCATGGGCTAGCTCCAGTAGCATGAAATTGGGAAATATGTACTCTTGCTCTTGAAGGCAATTCAAACTAAGGAATCCACGAAGTAAATTTCTGCCTTTTCTTGGAAGAACAAAAAGGCGGCACTCAAATCTCTCAATAGTGGGAATTCCCGTCGGAAAGCAGGGAGGTAATGATTCTGGAAGGGCTTCCGCTTGGAAGAAGGGCATTGATCTCATAAACGCGACCACGGATTGACGCCCTGACGGTAGCTCTCAAGTCGTCGTAGGTTGGGGGTTTAACGAGGTTTCGCGTGCTGACGAATGGGACTCATGGCGATGGCGGTGCAAAGTGCGAGCTTCTGCTCTTTCAGCACCAGACCGCCAGTGGCAGCTTCAGCCTGGAGCGAATGGAGGGGTGTGCCCTTGCGCAGGGAAATCATTGGGTTAGTGAAATTCGGAATCGGAAAGAAAACTCTGCAGGTCGTTAGTAGAAGAGGTGGTGGCGGTGGCAGAGGAGGGCCTGCAAAACCTCGGAATGTTAGCCCCCGCGGTCGCTCTGTGCAACAGCAGCAGCAGGAAGCTCTACCGAAGTCGTTAATTGCTAAGGTTGGCTCGGTTGGGAAGGTCGATTGTGGGTTGGGAATCTTGTCAATTCTGGTATCAAACGAAATATTGTTGTGAGGCTTTCACAGCGTTCCGTTCACGTGGATATATTTTGGCTGGAAGGTCGAGTCTGATATGCTTTGTTTTTGGAGGAAATGGATTGGTGGAGAAATTGTTGTCGTTGTGGTGGAAGAGGTTACATAAAACTTCCTCCACGAAGAAAGACGTTGCTCATTCAATAAGTATTTTATCTCATTAGGGTCTGCATTATACGTCTTTTGTTTTGCTGCAGAAAACTAGACAAGAAGAAGAAGACGAAGAGGATGCTCTAGCTGAAGCTGCGCTAGAAGCGCTGTTTGCGCAATTGGAGAAGGACTTGGAAGATGGCGCAATGTCAGAAGACGATGATGATGATGAAGACTTCACTGAAGAGGAGGTTATTGCTCTTGAGGATGAGCTAGAAGCTGCTCTGCTGGGTCTCGATTATGAGCAGCAGACTGTCATCGACTCGGAGGCAGGCAAAAGTGAAGTAGGTCCATCACAAAGCAAGCGGTTGGCAAAGGAGGACGCTGAATTAATTTTGGATGATGAAGAGGAGGACGAGGAAGAGCAGAGGGTTGTGAGCTTGGAAACGTGGCAGCTCAAAAAGCTAGCTGCCGCTGCGGAGATAGGCCGTCGAAACATAAATGTAAGCTAGTCCAGAACACTTGTCTGTAAGCGCAAAACACTTGTGTGTGAACATTAGTTTGAAAGTTATGATTTGCTGCTGGATTATGGATTGAATCTCATTTGTTCTAATACCGTTGCATGGTTCTCGGCTCTGCGATCAGAGCCGAGAATAGAGCTAATACTGTACTGTACATGCATTCAACTTTGCTAAAATATTAGCAACCAGTCGAACCTCCAATAGTCAGAGGGCGCAATGGGTTAAGAAGTTTGTCACTAGTGAACTGGTGTGGTGTTTCTGGTGCAATATATCAATCTACCTTGTGTTTGCGCACAGGTGAAAGCTCTAGCTGCGGAGGTTGGTATGGATAGGTCCGACGTTCTCGCTTGGTTGAAGAACCCACCACCGGAACTTCTGATGCTTGGTGCAACAATGGGGCTCGAAGAAGATTCGAAGGACGCCGATCAAGTCAACGAAGAGTCTGAAGATGCTGCTTCAAGGACTCCTGCAAAGATTTCTACTTCAACAAACAAGCAAATACCAGAGAGTCAGGGATTCGCTCCCGAAACATGGTACAATCAAAAGAGATTAAAGAAGGAACACGTAGCGACGTTTGAGCGAGTATTTCGTCGCACGAAACGACCCACGGTATGCCTTACTTCGCTTTGTTGTTCTTGTTGTGTTTTGATATACTCTTTCCTTCCACATCTTTTCTCCACAGTGAGCTGGATAGAGATAAGAAATGGCTGGTCTTGTGTGCTCATCGAGTGAACTCAACACTAAAACATGATCAAACTAATCTCCTACATCGCTTTGCTTCAACCTTGATCATACATTTGATATTAGATTGTAAATTAGCGTTTATGATCTACTTTGACCTTTCGAATTCCCCTTACCACTGTTATAGCCAGTGGTGGAAACGATAATATTGTCCAGACTTGAGTTTTGTTCACTTGTTTAGCTCGACTCTTCTTCTTTACGCTTGACTGATCTTAAGTCGTTTACACAGCCGAGAAGTTGGTTTGTTCTGAAGTGTCTCAAGGTTAACGGTTCCGAGCTGATCTTTGTTTCCTTGTGTTCATTACGCAGAATGCCATGATTCAAAATTTGGTCGAGCTAACGCATGTCCCTAGGAAGCGGATTGTTGAGTGGTTTGACCATAAAAGGCAGGAATTAGATCCCTCCCAACGATTGGAACCGCTGAGATGACGAGATAAGAAGGTATGGAAAATCTACTTATAGATCCCGGAATGAAGAAAGTGAGCCGGAGCTTGATCTCCAATAATATCTCGCTTCTAAGAATTACCGTGAATGGATGCACGGAATTTATGAACGACGTACTTGGAAACCATACCATCTCCGCTTTCCGAAGTGCCTCTAGAAAGTGGTTGATAAGAACCGGGATGAAGAAGAGGTTAATTGTTTCTCTTGAAAACTAGGTCAGCCCTACCCCAACAAATTGTTGGGGTGCTTACATTTGCCGCAGAGGATTTCAAGGACTGCTAAAGCTTTAGAATAAGAAGAGTTATAAGTATGCAATTCTTCAGTTTTGTAGTTTATAATGTAGATTATTCCTCTTAGATTCTGGATTCCACCTAGTCTTGGAACTGTAAATTATGGAGAAGACGAGGAAGTAAAATGATGCAAATGAACAGATCGATGGAACTGCACACGATCTCATGAAGATTTTCTTAGTGATAGTGGATCATTAGGCACGTAGTAGGTAATTCTGCGTCCATGCTCACCCCTTCTATTTCTGGGTGCCATCAAGCTGGCCCGTTTCTCTTCCATCGTCAATAAGATGGTTAAAAGATTATATTGAAAGTGGTGTCAAGGTTGGAGATTCTACCCATTGCGGTGGTTATCAGGAAAGTGATTGTCTCTCGGTCTTGACTGGTCCTAATTACTTCGAACTCACGTTCACTGTTGGCTACTCGTGAAGGACATATGCCATGCCAAGTAGAACAACACGGACAAGATATAAGCTACATTTTGTACAACAACAGCAGTCACGAATGATAATTTGCAAGAAGAAAGAATTAGTTTGCAGAGTAATGAAATGTGCTGTGTCGTGAAGACTGTAACTGGACCCCATTAGAAGCGTCACTATCAAAATAGTACTGCTTGCGATAGAAGTTTGATCGAATATGTTAACGTGACAACTTTGTCAGATCATGGTCGAGTATTAACTCCGGGACAATGTCAAAGAAATCAGAGATTCAAGCGTCCTAAATGCCAGATCGTGCCGGAAAAGATCTTCATATTTGGATTGCAAAATATGCTAAGTGTTTAAGAAGAGTATTACCATACCTTGTATTGATGAGAATCAGATACGGGAAATGTCGATTGTAAGTGGCGACTTGTGTCTTGAAACGTTCTCGGTTGCTTACAGGAATTGGAGTAGCAGGTGGCGACAAACCCTCGTATCGAAAGTTAGTTCCCTCTGATCAGAAATTAAACCTCATGTACATCGAAGTGTTGGCTACAAAGATGCCAATTTTGGGTCGCAGTCACCCTGATGGTCGTATTGTGTCCTTTTTGGGGTAGTAGTCCCCCTTATTCAGCGTATAGGCTGTTCCCAAGAGAGGGAGCGAATAACAATGGTAGAGCTGAGGGATCCCACGGTAAGGATCTCAAATGGGTTACAGCTGAAGTCTGAATTCCTTTCCATTTTGCGTGCATCGACAGTACAGTAGTGAGGACTATCTACTCTCGGACCACAATGGCAAGTGCTTCCCTACACTAGTCTCTTGATCAGGGCGGCCTTCCGATGGATAGACATGGTCCTGTCTCTTTGCTTTTCAGCACTCACTTATTTGTCCTTTGGATTGTGCTTTCTTCAGGCATGCATCGCATTGGTCGTTCAAAGTCTCACTAAGCAGATTCTCACTCAAGCCACGCACGTAACATGTCACGAGAAGTTGAAGAATAAAATCCTGTCAAGAAGTATGTAGAGCAAGGTTTTCTTCTCAACTGGGACTTTTTCATCTGATAGTTCGGAAGGTGTCAGTAAGCAGATCCTCACTCAAGGCAAGCACGTCCATGTGACGGAGAAGTTGAAGAATAAAATCCCGTCAAGAAGTATGTAGAGCAAGGTCTGTTTTTCCTGAGCTGGGATTTTTTAAATGATAGCCTGGAAGGTCTCAGTAAGCAGATCCTCACTCAAGGCAAGCACGTCCATGTGACGAAGAAGTTGTAGAATAAAATCCCGTCAAGAAGTATGTAGAGCAACGTTTGCTTTTACTGAGGTGGGATTTTTTAAATGATAGCCTGGAAGGTGTCAGTAAGCAGATCCTCACTCAAGGCAAGCACGTCCATGTGACGAAGAAGTTGAAGAATAAAATCCCGTCAAGAAGTATGTACAGCAATGTTGGCTTTTCCTGAGCTGGGACTTTTTAAATGATAGCCTGGAAGGTCTCAGTAAGCAGATCCTCACTCAAGGCAAGCACGTCCATGTGACGGAGAAGTTGAAGAATAAAATCCCGTCAAGAAGTACGTAGAGCAATGTTTGCTTTTCCTGAGCTGGGACTTTCTAAATGATAGCCTGGAAGGTCTCAGTAAGCAGATACTCACTCAAGGCAAGCACGTCCATGTGACGGAGAAGTTGAAGAATAAAATCCTGTCAAGAAGTATGTAGAGCAAGGTTTGTTTTTCCTGAGCTGGGATTTTTTAAATGATAGCCTGGAAGGTCTCAGTAAGCAGATCCTCATTCAAGGCAAGCACGTCCATGTGACGGAGAAGTTGTAGAATAAAATCCCGTCAAGAAGTATGTACAGCAATGTTTGCTTTTCCTGAGCTGGGACTTTCTAAATGATAGCCTGGAAGGTCTCAGTAAGCAGATCCTCACTCAAGGCAAGCACGTCCATGTGACGGAGAAGTTGTAGAATAAAATCCCGTCAAGAAGTATGTACAGCAATGTTGGCTTTTCCTGAGCTGGGACTTTCTAAATGATAGCCTGGAAGGTCTTAGTAAGCAGATCCTCAGTCAAGGCACGCACGTCATGTGACGGAGAAGTTGAAGAATAAAATCCAGTCAAGAAGGTATGTAGAGCAATGATATCTTCTTTTGAACTGGGACTTCTTATCTGATAGGCCGGAAGGAATCACTATGCAGATTCTCACTCGAGGCAAGCACGTCCATGTGACGGAGAAGTTGAAGAATAAAATCCCGTAGAAAAGAGAAATGTTTCCTTTTCCTGAAGTGGAATATCTTATATAATAGCTCGGAAGGTATCAGTAAGCAGATCCTGACGCAAGGCGCACGTCCATGTGACGGAGAAGTTGAGGAATAAAATCCCGTCAAGAAGTATGTAGAGCAATGATTTCTTCTGCTGAACTGTATATAGATGGAAAAAGCTCTAAGGAAAAAGGAACTGAGGACTTATGGCGATGGCTCGCACTTTGCACTTTGCACCGCCATGAGTCCCATTCGTCAGCACGCGAAACCTCTTTAAACCCCCAACCTACGACGACTTGAGAGCTACCGTCAGGGCGTCAATCCGTGGTCGCGTTTATGTGATCAATGCCCTTCTTCCAAGCGGAAGGCCTTCCAGAATCATTACCTCTCTGCTTTCCGACGGGAATTCCCACTTTTGAGAGATTTGAGCGAGGCCTTTTTGTTCTTCCAAGAAAATGCAGAAATTCACTTCATGGATTCTTTAGTTTTAAAAAAAGTAGAATTTTTTTTAGGATAATGAAGATTTTGCAATTTAATATTGTCAAATTATAAAGTATTATCAAAAAATAAATCAAATAATTCCACAAGAGTCAAATTATATTTCATTCTTCTATTGTGAATGTTCATTTCCTATCTTGTATAGGGGTTTTTTGACTCTTTCCATTAGAATATCAATTTGAGTATGATAGGACATTGAAATTGCTAATTTATTCAAAATAGTTAAATAATATTTCCAAAAATAAACTAGTAAAATGATTAATATTAGAAATGATTAAAAATTTGTTTGGTCCATGATTCATGAAACTTACATCTAAATGTATTTGAGTAAGTTCTTAAATTATCATTAATTGTGTGATTGGTTTGTTGTGAATCATTTTACTCAATTTGTCTAATAAATCATAAATGCTTTTTTTTTATTAAATTTTTGATTACCCAGATACTATGTCAATGATAACATGCTCTAATTGTTGTTTTAAAATAGCAGGTGGAATGTTGAAATTGTAATTAATCACATGTATAATTACTTGTTTTAGTTTTTGACAAATTACACAATTTTGAACATGAACCTCCACATTCTTTCATATGTGGATCAATAATAAACTTGTTGTATGCTTTCTAAGATCATACTTACTCTCACATGAATTGCAATGATTAGATCTTGATTTTTTGATAAAATTATTTTACCTCAGTTTTTAGTCTTGTAATATTCATATATATTGTTTGTGAAACGCCAAAACTTTAGCATTCTTTTTCTTTCCAGCTTGTAGTGATTTTTTTTACCTACTTTGTGTAATGTATCATTTTGCTCCATCAATCGGTTTGCTTTTTCAATTGTATAACATGATTAGTACATGACATGCAAATGTAATCATCCTGAAGTTGTTTCTTATCTTCCATGTACACAATGTTCATGTTCAAACATTAACATCATTTTGTACATGAAATTTATCAATTAGATTAATTCTTCTGAGAGAGAGAACTAACGAATGATTTATGATTGAAATCAATCAAAAACTTTCTAGAACCCAAATAAGGTTTTTATTTTTTTGTTTCCAACACAATGGCTTGTTATATTTATTGTGTTATGTAAATATTTTTTTTCCCTTGACATCAAATTTTAAATGAAAAAAGCAATTAGATATCATACATCCTTCCATACTTGTTAAAGTAATGACATTCATTGTTGTACCTGACACATCAATAATCAGCTTGATTGATTAGTATCATGTCACTTAAGAGTATGAGTGTATAAAAAATTATCTTTTTAATGCTAAAATATTTTAGCATTTTTTCATTTTCACTTTTTGGCTTAGATTAGCATAGATGTCAAGTCTTGAGCAAGATGAGTAGAATTTATTCCACAAATTTATGGTAAAATTCTACTTTTTTCATATTTGAATGATTGAATTTGTATTGTCATTCATCATTTTAATTATTTTTGCTTGAGCTCTATAATTCAAGTAATTTGCTTTTGAGTTGATAAATCATAGCTTTGCCACATAGTTCATTTTTTTGCAAATTCTAAAATACTTTTTGTAAGTGATGACTATGATCATTCAAGATTTTGCTATATATCAGAATTTTATTAAGAAAAATAAAATTCATTGATTATAGGATTGTTAGAACAAATTATTTATAGGAGAAAAAACAATTATTTTCACAGTATAGTGATTCAATCCACAATAATCAATGGATAGCCTCATACTTTTATCTTTTTTCTTCAAAAATAACATTAGAATTAAATATTAATATATTTTTTTATTTATTGATAATATTTTTTTTAATTTCATTCAAGCAAGTTCAAACGTTTTTTCTTCGTTAGGTAGAATGACGTTTAAAATTTCACAAGATTGAACATTTAATTAACTAAAAACTTTGCTTAATATCTTCTTGATTTGAACTTTGCAATTTGTTTAAAATAAAAATTTAATTTTTTTTAAATCAAATAATGTAGAACTTTGCAAGTTGATGTGCTTCTAAATATCAACTCAATCTTATAGATTACATGACTCTTTAAAGATAATCCTACAGGTAGGTCATATGGAAATACATATTTATAATCCATAAGAATGTCATTCAAGGAATCCAAAATTTAAAATTTATCATTAGATAGTTTATCAATATTTCTTATAAGTTTAGAGAATCATATATCGTCTCTTAAAAAAATGCTAAATTGATCATCAAGAGAGTTAAATTATTATTATCAGATTTTGATCTAAATCTATAGATTTTTCTAACACTATTTTTTGATCTTTGTTTTTAAAATCTAACTTGAGATTATATTGCTCCACTAGTGGCATTACTAGTATGTCATCGTATTGAACTACAAAATTTATCTTCATTAAAATTTTTTCTTGATTTTATTTATATATAGCTTTACATTTTGTAATGTGTGTCTGTTGTTTCAGTTTGCTCGTTTGACAATTTTATTTCTTTACTCAAGTGCTTCGTTAACATTTTTTTTTAACTTCATAGAGATATTGTGCGACAAAAAGTTTTTTTGTTGCTCTAGTACAATCAGATCTTTCATCTTTTGTACTTTCATCTTGCAATATTGTATGTCTAAATTTTTTTCGCTCTAGTATCAGTTAGATAATTCACCTTGTGGATTTCCATCTTGCCATCGATGACAATCAATTAGTCTTGTTTTTTGCTACTTTCAAAATTTTCAATCATTTTTTCTTTTTAATCTCACCTCATTTTGTGAAACTAATAAGTCCGCAATACAAATTTATCCATGATTTTTGTTTCTCAAACTCATTTCAAAGTTTGTCTTTGTATTGGAAATACTTCTTATGATCCTAATCTAGTTTGGCAAAAATTGGCAATGTGAATCATACTCATGTATGAATAACATTTTTGTAATAAAATAAAAAATATGAAAACATCACAAATGTATAATCTTCTTTATGATACATTACTCTAAAATTTGCATTGCTTCATTCCTTTTATATGCTTTCACCTTACATAACTTTTTCATTCAAATAAAAAAAAAACTTCAACTTCAATTTTTTGATAATTTTTAAATTTTCACCATGTTAAATGATGTATTCATGTTTTTTTACTCAGTCTAATACAAGTTAAATATGATATCTATCCAAACTTTGAACAAAGGAACAACACAAAAATAAATTCATCATATAAAAGCTTCATAATATTTTTCATCATAATTTTTCATAATATTTTTCATAATTTTTCAGAAAATAATGTCTTCAGATTCTTTTCTATTGGTATATTGTTATAATCTCTACATAGGTGTTGAATCAAAACAAGACAGATGATTTACGATTCAAATTCATCAAACATTCAATATAAATGTGAATGAGATAACCTCAAATATCTCCATAATCAACAATTGGAAATATCAATAATTACCCTAAGTCCATTTTGTGTAATAAAATCTGCATCTCAATATGTCACCGAAACATGATATTTTTCCACAAAACAAAGGTGAATATCTAATGGTTTGAAGATAGGTTATTACAATATTAGATTTGTGTTTGACAAATCTATATTTGCAAAACCAAAATTTTCTTTCCTTCTATCTATATGTAGCTAAAGTCTTCATCTATCATCACATACTATAGATGGATAATTATAGAATTTGATGAAAAAAAGTTAGAGTTAGATCAAGGCAAGCATGAAAAAACTTATAATTGAAAAATTTAATAGTACAACATTTGAAAGAGTATACATTCCTTTGACATCACATTTTACGAAGTCTAATGTTCAATTGCTGTCTATGAGAAATAAAAGATGTCATCAATTTCTTATGACAAAATTGTGTACAACTTCGTGTATTTTACAAGTAAAAGAGGTTTGGCGTCAGAGTATTGTTATGTGATTTGGAAAATCATATGCGACCAATTGGAGACAACCAAACCTAGCATGCTTGAGATTTGTCTTATGTATATGTGATATGGAAAATCATATGCGACCAATTGGATACAACCAAACCTAGCATGCTTGAGATTTGTCTTATGTATATGTGATATGGAAAATCATATGCTACCAATTGGAGACAACCAAACCTAGCATGCTTGAGATTCTTCTTATATATATTAATTTATGTAACAACACAATATGTATAATTGTCTCTGTTTATGATGCTATCATGATAGTGTGGGACAGCAGTTCGTTACATCCTCTTCTAGTGGATTTTACAATCCTAGCTAGCGGACAGGTCCCATGTGATTTGCAGCAACATTCAACCTCCCGAGAGCAGGGACGAAGATCCTCACATCGTGGTGATAAAACTGAGAGCAGGAACTAAGATCCACATACCATGCTGATACACCTTCTGAATCCGATACGAAATTGTAGAAAGACAGGTAAGTTAATTATTTCATAGTGTTTTGAGATGTTCCATTTCAGGAACTTTCCCATTAAGTTATCCTTGCCTTGGAAATGAGCGCAGTTAACGTGCTAAGAAGGAAGGTGGGAATCTGGAAGTATAGCTCTCATCTGAATGAAAAGGAGGAACGTACAGGCACCTTAATTTTACAGCTGCCTAGCGTAGAGCTAACGATAAAAGTATTATATTAAGAATGTAAAGAAGACGACTTGCAGTAGAAAATTGACAAGCTAGCAAAGTTTACGGTACTAAAGAGCAAACAGAAAGGAAATGCGTGGAGCATGTGAAGAATCGTCGTCCTCCATGCTAAGATATTAAACTGTACCATACTGGCAGTCCAGCAATCTCTTCTCACGGCTAATCAGGTGGTGGTGGCTGGATGCGGACGCCTGCCTCTTTTGAGATCAGTCGATTCAAGATGGGCTCACAGTAATCTCGAACTTCTAGCCATCACCTTCATGGTAAGATATTAATCTGTACTATACTGGCAGCCCAGCAATCTCTTCTCACCGCTAATTAGGTGGTGGTGGCTGGATGCGGACGCCTGCCTCTTTTGAGATCAGTCGATTCAAGATGGGCTGACTGTAATCTCGAACTTCTAGCCATCACCTGAGTATGTGGTCAAAGCTGAATGTGACTGTTCGTTATTGATCCTCAGAATGACCAATAATTGACTTACACTTTTCTGCATGTTGTGTGATGAGCTAAACAAGTTGAATCTGGATCTGAATATCCGGGAACGGCCATGTGAACGTAGATTGTATCTTGAATCAGACGAAGAGATATGCATACATATATATAAATCTCAAGGGCTAGGCAAGTATACTTATATGAAATTTTTTGTTGTGCAACGATCACCGCATATAAGAGTACCATAACGGAAGAAGGCTCTATGAGGTCAATTGCTCCTGTCTATACTGATCCTTATGACGCCATGGCCATGCAGGATTCCGACCCAGCTGCTCGCTTCGATTAAGGGCCAGCTGCTCCACCCAGCTCCTCGACCCGCACATGGTCAAGTTAGTCAAGCGTCAGTGCATGTTTGTGGGCTTGAATTAGGGAGGGATCGAGCAATACCCATCACCCTCTAGATCTCATCACCTCACGCTGTATAGGTGTTGCCACCATGACAGTAAGTGAATATTTCGCACAACTGCTCAAGTCTTCGATGGGAGATACTGTCCTCGACACTGTCCATGTATTATCGAGTGCCATCGAGTTCAAACTCAAAGAGCTTGCGACTACCGTTGTCATCAAAGGAGATGGAGCGTCATCTCTCTTGGTCATAGTTACCATCATCGTCCTCACGTCCTCAGCACTCTGGTGGGGCTGGATCTTCTTGTCATGGAGAGAGAATACCAAAATTGCTGGTGCTCGAGGTGCCGGTGCACTTCCTTTGCCACCAGGAAGTTTTGGACTGCTACCAGTGCTTGGGGGCGATACGCTGAGTTATCTTGACGCGTATCAAAATTTCAACATCAAGAGGTACGTGGATCAGAAGGTGGCGAGGTACGGGCCCATTTTCAAGACGTCGATCATGGGCCAGCCCACCATAGTCCTGGATTCTCCGGCTGGCAACAAGCTGCTGTTTCACGAGGATGAGAAGCTGGTGCAGGGCTGGTGGCCCAAGAATCTGAAAGCGCTGGTAAATTACAACGGGCTGAGCGAAACGAATGGCGAAGCTCACCGAGTTTTCCGACAGCATATCACGAGCAATTTTCTGGGCGTGGATGTCGTCCATCGTTATTTTCAGACCATGGAGCGCAGGGCCAAGGCCGAGATCGAGCCGTGGACTGAGCTCAAGGTCGGATCTGAGCTCACGATACCAACAGTAGACGTTTTGAAGAATTATAGTTTTCGTTTGATTTGTGAGCTCTCGATCAGCCTGAAGGATGTAAGGGAGGTGGAGCAGCTGAGACATAAGTTTGACATGTGGTCCGAAGGTTTCATGGCCGTTCCAGTGAATTTTCCCGGGACTTCTTTCAACAGAGCTTTGAGGGCCAGAGACGTTATGGCTGACGAGATGGGGAAGAAGATAAAGCAGAGGAGGAAGGAGTTGAAGGAAGGTCTTGCTTCGGAAACGCAAGACTTTCTGTCTGTCATGTTGACTCATCCCGATGAGACTGGCCACATTGTCGAAGATAAAATCCTGGTGCACACACTGCTGCTATTGCTTTGGACAGCTTCGGACACCACCGCGTCCACTCTCGCCATGGTGCTCCGAGAAACTTCAAGAAATCCTCACGTCTACCGTGAACTTATGAAAGGTCTGCCAGGTCTTCTGCTGCAGTTCACAAACTCTAGCCTTGTGATTCCATGGTCGTTATTCAACTATCTGAATCTCAAGTTAGTTGTGCTAGAAAGTGCTTCTCCTCCGATCTATGCAGTACTGGTACGGAATCTTGATGGGCCTGGTTCTGCAGTTCTTCTCTTTGACCCGGCATACTGATCCATATGGAAATTTTTTTGTAGAGCATGCAAGCATAACAAGAGGTAAGAAGGACGGAGAAATGTTGACAACCGAAAATTTGCGGTCGATGAAGTATACGTGGAGAGTGGTGCAAGAGACATTGCGTTTGTATCCAATTCTGCTTGGACTGTTCCGTGAGGCGAAGACTGATTTCGAGTATCAGGGCTATACTATACCCAAGGGCTATAAGGTGAATCCAACTCCGCTCGTCCTAGGCAGCTGATAGTTCTAATTTGTTCGTAAATGCGTCCGACCTCGGTCATAATATTTCCAAGTCAAGGCGCCTTTTCGCGGTCGATGAATGATAGATTTGTACATGTGCATGGATCCCGCGTTTACGTTGATTGATTCTCGTTGTCGACTGACGCTTGGGCCTGTTGTATGTTCATGTCGTGGGAGCAGCTTCTAGTAACGTCGGCGCCCTTGTTAGATCCAAAGTTTTACAAAGATCCAAAGACGTTCGACCCATCAAGGTTCGAGAAAGTCGGTGGAGGAGCTCCAGCATTTACCTACTTCCCTTTCGGTGGCGGTCACCGGATGTGTCCGGGCAATGAATTCGCCAAAGCAAGTATCATCATATTCGTGCACCAGTTTCTGAAACACTTCAAGTGGACTCTCGTTCATCCTGATGAAAAGATCAGGTACTCCTTTCTAGCTACTCCTGAACATGGCTTACCTATGAAACTAACCAAGATCAAGCCAGCGTTCTAGCTGCACATGCATATGCGCATACTCATCCCTAAACAGGCTCTTGGAAACTGGAATAAGCATCCAAACGGAAGTGCAAACTTGAAGTCCAACTTAACCTCTTTGTACACTCTCACTCCTTGTTATGGACTTGTAGGGCTTATGTAAACTGAGCTCAGTTTCACGAGTCTAGGAAAGAGCTCTTCAGATACTAGAATAACATTATCATACGGTCAAACATAGCAATCACAGAAATTGTTCATCACGGAGAAGATGCAAACGAACATGACAACATGAATCTCGTTAACTGTATTACAGCTACATTGTTCGGACTTCTCGGACCATATTGAATTGATTGATCGGATGCACATACAAGTGTAGGTAACGTTCAAAGCTTTGACTGGCTGTTCGGTGGACTCAGGCAGTGTATCTAAAATGTTGTAACTGGGCTTTGTAACTTAAGTCCTACTTGGAACGGAGGTTCTTTGAGCTTTTATACAGTTTATTGCAGTTTCCATGAGTGTAACCCCCTTGCATAAACAACAGTTTCATTTTGAGATTTGATAACATCTTGGATTCACTTTAAGATGATATCTGTTGATGTGTATTTACATCTAGTAGATATCAATACTGTACGCACAAGAGCTAAAAATGCTATCCACTTCACCATGATACATGCATGAAAATAATAAGCTCTCTTAGAAAATTTCTCACAATTTTGAAGAAATAATTATTGTTAGAGGTTTGAGATGTCGAAGTTCACATGCTGGAAGATATGGCTTCATTTGTCACATATTTGTGGCAATTGACATGAAATTTATGCTTACGCTTGTTCATAAAAATTTCTTATCCATGTCTAGACGAGAGCATTGATGGACATGAAGGTCTTGTATAGATTGACTTTGCTTGTTCTAGAGCAAAGTTTGCTTGGATTTCTCTTTAAATTTTGTAAAAGCTAGACTCAATGGTTCATTCATGCTCTTGTGATTGGAGTAGGTAGTTGATATCTTGAGATCAAATTCCTTGTGATAAACAAGATACATAGCAACATACAGTCATCTATGTAAACAGCTTATTGTAGAAGTTTCAACTAGCCAATTTGAACAAAAAATTTGAAGTTTTAAGAATTTGTAAACTTTACAGATTCATAGCATCAATCACAAAATGTTGAACAAGTAGGCTAGAAACTTATTTTTTTCTAGCAACAGTTGTGGAGAAATTCAAATAATATTAAATCATTTACATGAACTAGCTGGAATTTCACATGTATGTGTAATAAAATATATACGGTATAAGAAATCATACATAAATGAAAGATTGATTGATTCTAAAAAGTACAACATAAATGTCTTAGAGCTATACTAGATAGAACTTAATTTCACATTTATTTCTTTGCTGTGAAAAGAATCATGATGGTAGACAGAAGAATTTCAATTTTGTGTGGAGAATGTTTCGTTTTGTTCCTACTAATCTGTATTCAAATGTGTAGAAATCATTCTACACATTCAAATGTAGGCAAAACTGTTAAATTATATCATAGAAAAATTCTGATTAAAAAAATTAAAATAACTCAGTTCAATTCAATATCTTTTATTATGATAATAAAAAACTTTCTATTAGATATTATATCACATAACTTTATCGATATTCTCATTTCATACATTGTAACATAATGCATTATGGATATTAAATACATGATTTCACTGAAATTTATCAAAACTAAATTTGGTGTTGATGTTATAAAAATGAAAGATGATCTTAATGATCAATTATCCACACACAAAATCAAATTTGCAAGTGTATGATTTAAATCACTGAGATTACATACACATAACACAAAAATTGTTTCTTCAAAAATTTCAAGTTTGTGTTATTGATGATTACAATAACATATCTTATAAAGTATCAGTTTAACTAATCAACTAATTCGTTTCACAGTAACTAATAATTAACTAATTAAATTTATAAAACCCTAATTCAAATCATAAAAATCTTTTATTGATTTATGTTTCAAGATTTTAATCTCTAATACAATGAGATTAATTTACGTAGAATCTATGATGAAACGTGACATAAATATTTTCAAGAACTAAAGCTAGCTAAAATTTATAATCAATCAATACATAATAATTAAGTCATATGTAAATATAAATTTTTTTTACTAATTCTTAGAATTTTTCAAATAAAAAAATTTGCATTAAAGCATAATTTCTTTATAAATTCTTCAAAGAAAAAACTTTGAAAATGCATTAGTTGAATTGAACCAATTTTTAATCTTATAAAAATTCATAAATCTCATATGAAACATCTTCAATAAAATGATATCTCATGTATATACATAAATTAGTTTATTAATACATGTGATGGAATTTTATTAAAACATCATGCAAACATGTTATAATATTATAAAATCACAATGATGCTAAATTTTAAACCAATATATGATTATAGTTTCAAATTTGTTATGAGTTATCAAACGTCAATTTCATTTGATATGCATATCTATGTTATTTTGTTGATAATAAACATTCAATAACTCTTTTTTAATTGATATAAATTTTTGTGAATATAATTTACAATATTTTTGTTCATTTCATTTTTTGTGGAAAATACTCTTTTTTCAAAAATATTCAACTACGTTGATGAAGTTAAGATATAAACATCATACAAAAAGTATGTGAATTACATTTTTGTGAATCAAATATTTTTTTTATATGTAAATTTCACATGAAAAGAACAATTTTTTTTTAATTTTATAGATACATATATCAAATATTTTTCTATTGAATAAATTTTTTTTGTTAGACCTTCAATTTGAATATAAGGTGTTATTGAGATTACATTTTTTGTTTTAAATGAATTAAACAAGATTTCTAAAAAAATATGATAATGAAATAAGTATATTTGTGTTTTAATCTTTATTTGAATTTTAATTTATAAAATTAAATCTTGATAAAATTGACCAACTTGATTAGCTTTGATCATTTCTTGGAGATTATGACTTGATGTGGTATAAGGTTTAAGGTTTAGGGTCCCTCCTCTCCTCTTCTCTTCTTCTTGCTTGGATAACTTTCTAGAAGAATGGAATCTACTTGAACTCAGTTTGTAGCTTTGCCTCATAACTTAGCTCAAAGCCAAAGAGAAAATTGCTTCTCATCGAAGGAAAAAAAAGGTTTTCATTGTGTTTTTGCAATTGTCTCGCTAAGGTTTGAACATTGCGTATTTTCTTGGCTGATCGCCTCAAAAAGGTCTTGATTTTTTTTTATTGGATTGCAAGTGAGACTTTATACGACCAAAATTTGCTCAAAATTTTCTCTCATTCAAAATACTCGCTCAAAGATCTTGATTGATTTACGTCTTATTGCAATTTTGGCTCCCAACTTGCCTCATTGCTCCAAAAACATGCATATTTTTGACACATGTAAATCCAAGATGTAAGTCGTTATCACAACATGGATAACAATGTATAGTCAGTTAGGTCCAATTGAGTCAAATGATATGTATTTCACAAAGAATTTTTTGTTACGAAGGAATTTCATCAAGATGCGCAGTATGTTGAATTTATCTAATTTATCATATTGATTTTGGACAAAAGCTATCAATATTGCAATTTACTTGATATATCTATTTTTTCTTGTGCAATCAGTTTCTTAACATTGTTTGAACTAAGGCATTATTGCATGTTTTATTGTAATTGTTTGAAAATTTTTGGTTTTACAAATTATACTTTCATACACAAAAAATGTTAACTAAGTTGAATCTTACATACATAAGTGTCATTTTTTTGATATGCTAGTGATGTGAAGTATTATATCTTATTTTTTCATGCCTATAAAAACTAGGACCAAGATGTATCATACATCTAAGAAATATCATTTTCTTAAAACGATATTATTGAAAGGCGAGTAAAATTCAAGCTTCTTCTACTAACAACCAAAAATTTGATTATTGAAAGAAGTGAAGATTGATTATTTATGATCAGTGATGTGTGTCAAATCCTGTGAGTGCCAAGAACACTAAATTAGGGTTTTAGAATAGTTTAGAATGCATAGGAGAAAGAAGAATATGTGTAAAAGAGTTGAATTAGGTTTTGATGGGTGTTTGGAGCGATGAGAATTGCGTGCACGCCATAGTCAGATCCTTAGGCCTACCTGTTGGAGATGGAGAACCGGCGTAGGGTAGGTAATAAGGGGTTTCATCATTACTCCAGCGAGTCTCAACGGCTACCGAGGGATATCACCGGCGGCGGAGGACCGGTGTTGGACCCGGCAGAAGAGCGACAAGCCAACTGGCGCACACTCAATTTGGCGGTGCACTTGCTTTTTGAGCGCGAGCACTCAATTTTGAGCGCGCTTTGTGTTTTCACGCCCTCGCAAGTAGAGAAAATTAGCTCTAGTTGCCTTGCGAGTGAAAAATTTGAGCGCAAACCATTTCAAGGTCTACGCAACCGGAGCGATCAAAGATTTTGCACCGGAGGCAGAAGAGGTCCCATTGATTGGAAATACAAATGGGACAACCTCAAGAGATTGAAGCAACGGTGATCGTACAACCGGTGGAGGAGTCCTCTCCGTACCGGAGGCGTCAAGGGAGAAGTTGAACGTCTTACTGGTGAGAGAGGTTGTACCCACGGAGGACGCATAGGTTGGAGTAGTCTTGGAGGAAGTCAGGATGGAGGCAGGTGGGCCAGAGATGCGCATCCTCGGTCTGACTGTGCCTCTAGAAGGAACACAAGGGAGATGGGTAGAGGACGATGACCCCTACGCGATGGATGAACCGACTCTCGACACCGGAGGCATTCAAGAAGAAGCGAGGGCTTCTCTACAGGGGGACGATAGCGTGCCGAAGTAGCATAGTAGTATCGAGACTCTACTGCTGGCGGGAGAGAAGGTACTTGTGACGGAAGATGAGGGACCGGTGGTAACCTTGCCGGTAGGCGAGAGCCTAGAGGAGGTACCGGTGGTAACTTCACCGGTGGGTGAGAGCCAAAAAGAGGTAGTTCCAAGGGCAGAGATTGCGGGACGAGGGGCATCAACGGATGACGACACTCCAGAGGATATACCGGTTGAGGAGATCACCATCAAGGAAGGAGAACCCGACTTATCGGAGCTGGTGGTTTGCCTCTAGGCTGGAAAATATCTTTCTCTAGTATGGGGATGACTCGGATGACTAGTCCCAAGGGAGGGGAGCGTCGTAGGATTGCAGGTGTGAACGGAGTGGAGGAGAGCTGAATGACGTGGCTCGTGGGGCCAGCTGGAATCTTTGACGAATGCGAAGTCAAGGCGTTGATCTTGTTTTCAGCGGCAATAAGTCAGCACCGGAATTTGTGGCGGTCGTGTCAGACTTTAGATAGGCTTGGTGATCCTAGCATGATCGCATTTTAGTTCGTAGTAGCTTTTGTAGGTCATTTTTAGGACGTAGTAAACAGCGTGGCCGCCTTTGCATTTATGGTAGCCGCCACCTACTTTTTATCCCTCCGGTTTTTGTGGGGTTGGGGAATCTTAGAATGTAGAACTGGTGGTATTATTTAAAGGGA